ATTGTTATTTTTGTTTAACAAAATTTTGTGGATCTTGTGCAATTTCCTAATGTTAAATCCGTAAAGAAGCCTATATCGGTCATTAACAAAGAAAAAGCGACAACTAGTAATTACACTAATAGTGATGACGATGTTAATGTCATACTGACACCAAATCGTCCGCGATTTGATTCGGGTCATCGTCGTCTGACTCATTGAAGTCGTCTAACTCGGGCGCATTACGACAACAGGGCTTAATCTTGTCGGTGCTGAATACAGAACAAAATTTTCGATTCGTAATCTTGAGAACGCGTATATCATCTACCAGATATCGGTAGTTTCCCTACCTTCGGGTGATGACGTATGGGCCACGAAACTTAGGTTCTAATTTTCTCGAGTCGCCGGTTGCTGCAGGTTCATTTTCAATAACGACGAGACTACCTTCAGTATACTCTGTGGGTTTGCGATGCTTCTCGTCGAAACGCTGTTTCCACTTCTCACGCTCTTGAGTAATATTAAGAAGCGCTTGCTGTTGTCTTTCGTCGATTTGTTGCGGATTAAGCGAAGCATCGGTTGTATCGTGAATAGCGGCAATAAGTCGATTTTGTACAATGTCGCGAAGACGGAAATCGAAGATCAATTCATTTGGCGAGTAACCAGATGTATCGTTGCGTTGTGAGTTGATAGACCACTGGACGTTACGCAGTATACCATCCCACTCTTTCGGTTTCTCGGTTGTTGTTCGAAGATAAGTAAAAATTTTTTGGTTGGCTCGCTCAACCTGACCGTTGGCTCCCCGAGTACGTACGGCGGTTTTAACATGTTAAATGCAATTCACGTTACAGTACCCAAAATAACTTGTCATCTCGTTTAAGGTGTTTATTACTGGAGCAGTTTTCGTATTTCGTACCGGCTTAACAACCAAATACTTTGAGAATGCGTCGGATATTGATAAAATATAGCAATTACCTCGGCTGCTTTTTATGAAAGGTCCCAGATGATCCAAATGGTATGGGTTCAGGTTCGCTATAATGTAGACTACCCTCTGACATACCGTGGCGTGATTTATTATAGCAACAATTTGGGCATGCTGCTGAGTAATCTTTAATGTACTTGCGAATTTTCAGAAACAAAAAATGTGATCTTATTCGTTGAATTGTTTTGTCGGCAGCAAAGTGTTCCACAAAACGTAAACCTTCTTCGGTGCGACGATATAATCGATGATCTTTTAATTCGCAAACTTTCTGGATATGGGTTTCTTGATCGGATATTTTCTCTTTCTTCAGAACACTTACCACCGATGTTAACATTGGATCTTGCAGCTGCATAGTTAACAGCCAGTCGTCGGACGTAGCAGTAACTTTCATGGCCAGTCCGGCCGTTTCGACGTCATTCGATCTGGTGCGCGGCTGAAACGTCGACATGAGCCATACGGGTTCCTCGACGTTGAACGGTGTCGAAGTCGTACTCTAAGAATTTCATCCACCATCGGGAAATTCGGGATTTTAACCCTTTACTTGCTTTGACTTTTGCTATGGCGGAGCAATCCGTCACCAACTTAAACTTTTTCCCCAAAACATACATTCGAAATCGCTCGAGGGACTCAACTACGGCGATCACCTCGAGCTCATAAGCGTGGTATTTACTTTCTACCGGAGTACAATGTCTACTAAAATAAAATACAGGTTTCCATGCTTTGTTGTCGTTGGACTGAAGTAACGACCGGCCAGGCCGACACTACATGCGTCGGTGTGTCTCATGCTCGGCCATCCTATCCTACAACGCGAGAACAGGAGCGTTGCTTAGGCGTTCGATCAAATCTTCAAATGAACATTGTTGATCTTGACCCCATTTGAAAGGTTCATTTCTTTTTGCGAGGAGTTTAGTAATGGGTTTTGAAATCAGGGCGTATTCGGGCACAAATTTTCGAAAAAACCCGGTTAACCCAAAAAACGTATAGTTTCGGTAATATTATTCGGTACATTAAAGTTTTTAATCGCAGTTATTTTGTTTTCACCCGGCTTAATACCGTTTTTATTTGATACGTGGCCTAGATAATTTTAGTCCACTTTCTCGTAAAAGTTTTAAAAGCTTTGTTAAACGCGATAGGCCTTCGTTCACCGTTTTCCTTGGAATTATAACATCGTCCAAATATACTAGTATTTCACCAGGATTCATTCTCGCGGCTATTTTACAAGACCGAATGGCATCCGGTTGTACTCGTAATGGCCCTCCGTTGTTACAAAGGCAGTGAATTTCTTCGATGATTCTTCCACTTCTATTTGGTGGTATCCCATCCTTAAGTCTAAAGTTGTAAAATATTTGTTACCGGATAATTGTGCAAAATCTTCGTCGATAATTGGCATAGGATATTGGTTTTTCTCCGTAATTTTATTTAGACACCTATAGTCTACGCATAATCTAGATTCACCAATACCACCGGAGATGCGTAAGGTGAACCAGTCTCGAATAATTTCATTTAAAAATAATTCAGACACGATATCGACACACTATTTTACGTTTAGCAAATGGCACTCTATATGGTTTCATACATATCGGTTTATCGTCGGTTAGTTTAATATTCATTTTCGATACTGCGCATTTACCTAATTCCGATACAGTTTCAGCAAAGACATCTCGGTTTGCTTGTATTATAGATTTTAATTTGAATCGTTCATCCAATGAAATATTCGATATTGTTTTTAATTTTTCAACCGTACACTTATCATTTTCGATCACCAGTCGTTTGCCATTTTGACAGAATACGTCTCTGCCAAGCAACACATCTTCATCGATGTGGTCGTTATCAACCACCAATAATTTTGCTTGATGCCGATCGTTATCAATTTCGAGTGAAACTAAAATTTTCGCGGTGCGTTCGTATGTGCCACCTGCAAATCCTTGCAACACTCGCGTACAATTTACAGTTTTACCAATTTTCTCCCTTCCTACTGAACGACGGATTAGTAAACAAACACTACCAGAGTCTATTATGGCTTTTGTTTCGTGTCCGTTGACTTTAATTTATTTTGTTAAATTAGCTTTATTGATTTCATCGTCATTAATTTTATTTACTTTATGGCTGTTTTCACCATCTCTGGTTAACACTAATCTTCAGTAAAACATCGTTACCGACGTTATCGACCCAATGTTATATGTATGGAGTCAGTAACGTCGGCAACGATGTTTAACTGGAGATTAGTGTTGGTGAAAACGGCCCTTAGTATTTGAATTCGTTTTATCTTTTGGTTGTTTACAATTTGCTGCTTTATGGCCTGTACGGTTACACGTTTCACATGTTGTTGTTGTTGTAGCGACTACAACAACCCCGCCCAGGACGGTTGGTATCTCAGTCGTTGTCGTCAAGTTACACTAACGGCAACCCTAGGAAGCGTGCAGCTTCTGTGGGGTTTGTCCACAGGGACAAGGCCGTTAGGGTTGTCGGGTTTTCCGGGCATGCGAAGAGATTTTTCGAGTCATGTGGGGTCTCTCCGCATGCCGGACACTCATTCGGCACATCCTCATTCAACCTACTCAGGTAGGAGTTCAACCTGCTGCAGTAGCCGGAGCGAAGTTGTGCAAGTGTTGTGCGTGTCTCCCGAGGCAGATGGAGCTCCATCGCGTCAATGTCCGGTGTTTGTGTGCCTAGAACGGCATTCACAGGTCTTGAGTCTACATAACTCGAGACTGAGTCCCTGTGAATGCCGTTCAGGGCCTGTCGGTAAGCTGTCGGGTCCAGAGGTTGCTTAATGAACCTCTGGACTTCGTCCGTCAGTTCATATAGATGCCTCCTGACGTGCCTAGGCGAGGGCTCCTCTGCAAGCAGCTGTCTGCTTGGGTGGCCACTTCTGTGGCTCCCGATCAGGAACTGCTTGCAGGGCATTATATTGTGCTCCTTTACAGGGAGCATTTGCGCCTCGCCGTGCAGGTGGTGTTCAGGCGACATCAGGAGGCATCCTGTCGCTGTCCTGAGTGCGGTGTTCTGTACAGTCTGTAGCTTCGTCCACTGCGTCCAACTAGTCCCTGGCGACCACACTGGCGCTGCGTAGTTCAAAACCGGCCGGCCTATTGCCTTGTATGTTGCCAGCAACGTTTCTTTGTCTTTGCCCCAAGTACTGCCGGCTAGCGACTTGAGGACCTTGTTGCGGCTCTGTACTTTATTGACAATAGCGGTTGAGTGCGCAGAGAAGGAGAGCAGGCTGTCGAATGTTACTCCGAGTATTTTGGGGTTATTCACCGTCGGAATTGGTGTGTCATCGACGTGAATCCCCAGCGGTAGCCTGACCTCCTTCGTCCATGTTGTGAACAGGGTCGCGGAGGATTTCGTAGGGGAGAGGGCTAGACACTTTGCAGTGAAGAAGCGAGAAAGTTCAGAGAGATACCCGTTTACTTTCGAACACAGGTCATCAATTCCATTCCCAATCGCCATGAGCGAGCAATCGTCGGCATAAGAGACAATCGAGACTCCTTCTGGTGGTTGAGGGAGCTTTGAAATGTAAAAGTTAAACAGTAGCGGGGAAAGGACACCACCCTGAGGAACCCCCTGTTTTATTTTTCGCTGCTTACTCGTTTTGTCTCTAAACATTACCGACGAATGTCGACCACTCAGATAATTTGCCGACCACCGTTTGAGCCTCTGTGGGAGGGAGGAGGCCTCTATATCTTCTAGTAGCGTGGAATGGCAGACGGTGTCAAACGCCCTTGACAAGTCCAACGCTACTAGAATCGTTCTCTCACAGGGACGGTTTCGGTTAAGGCCACGAGTTATCTGAGTGTTTATGGCGTTAAGTGCTGTTGTTGTACTGTGCACTTTACGGAAACCATGCTGATGCTTCGCTGGGGTCAGGTGGTTTGTGAAGTACGGGAGTAGCAAGGCCTCGAGTCTCTTCGCTACCGGGGAAAGGAGTGTTATCGGACGATAGGAATCTCCTTTGTTGGCAGGTTTCCCCGGTTTGAGCAGTGGGACCACTCTCCTCATCTTCCAGATGTCTGGGATGATGAGAGTGGCCATTGACAAGTTGAGGACCACCGTTAGGTACGCTACCCCCGCAGGACCCAAATTTTTCAGCATCAGCATGCATATTTGGCTTTGGAGGCTTTCGCCTTCCCGATGGCCACCTGAACTTCACCGCAAGTGAAAGCAAGGGGGGCACAGGTTGTTGGCAGTTTGTGCAGCCTTCTGGTCACTCGACGCTTGGCTTTGTCCACCGGAGGATGCAGTATGAACTGCCGGCTAAAATAGCTCGCGCATCGCTCCGGGTCCGACTAGGCATGGTCGCCGAAGGAAATTTCGACTCTGTCGTCGTGCTTCGTCGGATTAGACAATGAGCTCACGGTTGACCAAAGCTTGCTCACACCAGAGGTGAAATTACAGGTCTTCAAATGCTCCTCCCACTTCTTCCACTTATGTACGTTTACTAGTTGCCGAATCTCCGCGTTGAGATCCCTGATACGGGGATCTCCGGGATCGGCCTGACGAAGGCTATCACGCTCATCGGCTAGAACAGCCGCTTCGGCAGGGAAGTTTGGACGTGGGTCCGATATACATCCTGCCGGTATGAAGCGAGCTGCAGCAGCAGTGACAGCCCTGCGGAACTTACGTTCACCGAGATGGACGTCGGTTGGTGTGGGGAGCGCTGTGAAGGTGTTTTCGGTAAACTCCGCGTAACCTTTCCAATCAGCTTTAGAAAAGTTGATATAGGTCCGGTGTTTGGCGGAGGCAAAGTCGGTTGGTTTATCTATCGAGATGACTATGGGTAGGTGGTCTGATGCTAGAGTCAGCATAGGTCGCCATGTTATGCTGTTTATCAGACCAGCGCTGACTATTGTGATGTCTGGCGAGCTACTGCAGTTACCCATAATCCTGGTGGGTCCGTCGTCGTTCATTGTGCAGAATGTCGAATCGTCTATCTGCTCAGCCAAGTCTGTTCCCCTACGATCGTTTGACAGGCTTGAGTGCCAAAGATCGTGGTGCGCATTAAAGTCACCTACTACCATACGGTTTTCACCTCTGAGGAGCGCACCTATATCAGGGTGATATCCTGCCCGGCAGCAGGTGACAGGGGGTATGTATATGTTAAATATTTCGAGCTCGACATCGCCTGACCGGATAGCGATGCCCTGACATTCTAGGGTGGTATCTCTGCGGTCGATGTCTGCTTCGATAAGACGATACTGCACGGTGTGGTGCGTGATGAACGCTAAGCCACCACCATTATCTCGCTCGCGATCTCGACGGTGCACGTTGTACCCGGCGCAATTCAACAAAGTTGAATTGCTGTGCAACTTCGTCTCTTGGACCGCAGCTATCAATATACCATGCCGACACATGAAGACGGTTATCTCCTCAATCTTGCTCTGTAGCCCGTTGCAGTTAAATTGAAGGAGCTTCATGTGGTTCGGGAGACGTGTCGTGATGTGGGGTGTAAGTGAAGTGTATGTTCTTGCCGCCGTTGGCTGTGTGTGCTGCTGTGGTGATTGCCGCCCTGTGGTGGTGGCGGGGGGCGTCGCAATTGGGGTCTGCGACCGAGCAGCGCAACACGGGCCCTCGAAGTTCCCAGTCCGATCTCGCGTGGTACGCAGACCTGAGCATGCCCTAAAGTGGCACCAGCCAAGGCAGGTGTTGCACTTGACTGATGTCACATTACGGAATATCCTGGTCTGACATACCGTGCAGATTATAGGGGGAACCAGGAGTTGTTGGCGGCGGCGTGTGGGTGGTGGTGCGGTTGTGTGTGTTATGTGGTCTGTAGAGGCTGTGGTACGGTCTGTGGTGTTATTATGATGTTGTGTTGTGGTGACTGTGCGAGGCTGCTGTGTGAGTGTGTGAGGCTGCTCGGGCGGACTGTGGTTAGCCGTGGAGGCTGCTCTGTTTGAGCAACAGGGGGCCACGTACGACGTGGTCCACTGTCTATGTGTCCGTAGTCCCGAGCAGACTCTGAGGTGACTCCACCCCTCGCAGGCATTACACTTGACTGAGGTGGAGTTGTGGTGTAATCGTCTCCGGCATACACAGCAGGTGTAGGTTTCTGGCCCTGAGTTTGACTCGATGCCAGCCCTGAGTAGAAGAATACATAGTGAATGTAGCCCTATGGACGGACAACTTCTGAGATACTTCGCCGACCTAAACGGG